AGGGCCCCGACGGTGGCGAGCGCAGGAGGCGACACCGGCACGGAGCCCCGGCCAACTACGACCAGGACGCCAGGAGGGACGACAAGGAGCGCCGGCACCGCCGGAGGAAGTGAGTGACGTCACGGAGACCCTCGACCTGGGGCTCGCTGTCACGTGGCTTAGTTTTCATGGTCGGCGGTGCAGAACTGTTCCCCATATACTAGGAAACAGCTCTACCACTAGGCCACGCCCATACGGCTAAGCCGCGCCCCCTCGCTGAGCCACGCCTCTAACCCTAACAGGCTGCTCCACCACTGAGCCCCGCCCCCTCGCTGAGCCACGCCTCTAACGCTAACAGGCTGCTCCACCACTGAGCCCCGCCCCCTCGCTGAGCCACGCCTCTAACGCTAACAGGCTGCTCTGCCGCTTGGCCCCGCCCCTGCTGAGCCGCGCCTCCACTCTGATACCTGGCTCTCCCGCTGAGCTTCCTCGCGGTCTTAACATTGTTCCCTTGATGATACCAAGTAACAACTCCATGTTAGACCTCTTGGGTTGACACCGTGTAACTCCATAGTAGATCTCTTGGGTTACATTGTATCTTTTTTTTTCTTTCCGGTCTCCCATCATTGTGAACTGACAGATTTCCTTGTGCAGTTCAGATAAACCAAGGAAGTGACTCTGTTTCCCCTCTGGAAAGAGTCCGTATCAACATCCTACTTTCCTACTTGAGACTAAAAAGAGAATGAGGGAATGAGGACAGTGGTGCTGGTGGTTGGCCCGTAGGAAGCCCTTCGGGACACCAGACGCCTTGGCTTTTTAATTGTTAGGGTACATAGGTAGGATTCTGGGTTCCCAGTGGGGCCAGAGGAACAGGTCCTGTGCTGTGTGGGGGCTGCGCAGCTCCTGCCATTGCTTGCGATCCCCTCAACACTTAATGAACAGGCCCGACTGGAGTGGCCTTCTTTTGCATATTTCTTTCTTTTTTCCTGTGAGGAGAGGGGCTTGAATTATTTTTTAACTTAGGATCTCACTGTGTAGCCCAGGCTGACCTGGAACTAGCCATCTCCTGCCTCAGCTTCCTGAGTGCCGGGATTACAGAGCTGCAGCTGCCCCTGTCATCTGTATCTTCCACGGGGTGGGGGGTGGGGGCGCGGCTTGGGGCGTGGCTTCGTGTGGACAGGGCTTGCTGGCATGAGGGCTCTGTGGGTGGCTTTTGTGGGGGTGTGGTTTATGCAGTGGGTGTGGCTTGTGGGGCAAGGCTCTGGTCTGGGCGTGGTTTCAGAGGCGTGGCTTTTCGTGGGGGCGTGGCACTATGGTAGAGCACTTGCCTAACACTTGTTAGCTCCAGCTTCCATCCCCAACACTGCCGTGTGTGTGTGTGTGTGTGTGTGTGTGTGTGTGTGTGTGCGCGTGTGGTGTCGTTTGACTGATGTGGTATCCTCTACCCACCTGGCAGCTCATGGGGGTTTGTGGGCATCACCAAGAAGTTTTGGGGTGGGAACCATGTAGACTCAGATAAGAAATTTTTTTTCTTCATTGAATTTTATTAGCGCTGTGTCTTGCGACAGAGCCTCACTGGGAGGGTGGCAGGCAGAGATCTGGGCGGGAAAGCGATGATGAGCATTTATGGAGACTTGTGGCTTGGCCTGGGAATTGGCTGAAGTGGGCACCATTTAGTGTGTGTGTGTGTGTGTGTGTGTGTGTGATGCTGAGGGTGGACCTCAGGACCTTTACCGGTGCTAAGCAAGTGCTCTGTCCTTAAGCCATGCCCCCTCCGCCTGGGACTGGACTTCCAGACGCCCAGTTGTAATGATTGGTGGGATCGTGTTATTCTCTGATTTCTTCCCCCCGACTTCCTCAGAGACAACCAGGGCTCAGGGGTCCCGGTGTCTGGCCCCAACCTATCGACCACCCGGCCGATCCAGCAGGACCTGGGCCGCCAAGACCCCCCGCTGGCCGAGGACATCGACAATATAAAGAATAACAAACTGGCTACCGGGGAATCGGCCAGTCCCCACGACAGCTTGGGCCACCCGGGCGGCGGCTCCCACAGCCCGGCCAAGATGGGAAACAGCATGGAGCCCGGGCCCGCACCCACGCCGTCCACCACGGCCACCAACCCCCAGAACACCACCAGCCGCCGCACGCCCAACAACCCGGGGAACCCCTCCAACCCTGGGCCCCCCAAGACCCCCGAGAACAGCCTTATTGTCACCAACCCCAGCAGCGGCCACAATTCAGCCAAGCCTGCCCGGAAGCCCGACCACACTGCGGTGGACATCCCGCCCGCCTGCCCACCCGCCCTCAACCACACCGTGGTCCAAGGTGAGGCCTTGCCCCGCCCTGCAGGGGCCGGCCCAGCTGCCCTTCTCCCCCAGCCGTAAAGGCCTCTCCTGGGGAGATCCACCTTTCTGGTCTCAGTTTCTCCCCTGGAAAATAAGCACAGACATACTCCCAGCACAAAGGGCTGCTGAGATTCTGTGTGTGGTGAGATGGGTAATGAAGGATATCTGTCTTTCTTCTCTGCCCATCCTGAGGCTTGAACTCAGGGCCTAGGTGCTGTCTTGAGCTTTTTCACTCAAAGCTAGCATGCTTAACCTCTTGGGCCACAGCTCCACTTCTGGTGGTTCACTGGAGATAAGAGTGTCACAGACTTTGCTGCCCAGGCTGGCTCTGAACTATGATCCTCAGATCCTGAGTAACTAGGACTACAGGCATGAGCCACCAGCACCTGGATTTAATGAATGAAGAATCTGACTTTATCTCTTATAAAGACTGAGATACCACTTCCATCCCAGAGGAGAATGGTTGGGGGGGGGTCTTTGCAGAGAAACAGAAGTAGGAGGCTTACAAGTTTGAGACCAGCTTGGTCTACAAAGCAAATAAAATAATAATAATAAGCAGCTTAATTCACTGTATAAGGTAGCTCATGCCTGTAATCCCAGCTACCTAGGAAGCTGAGATCTGAGGATTGTGGTTTGAAGCCAGCTTGGGTAGGAAAGTCCATGAGACTCTTCAGTGAACCACACAAAAGCCAGAGTGGAGTTGTGGCTCAAGTGGTAGAGGGCCGGCCTTGAGCCAAAAAGCCAAGTGAGAGGTAGAACCCCTGAGTTTAAGCCCCAGTAGCAGAAGAAAAAAAAAACAAAAAACAAAGATGCCCCAGCCACATGTCTGTCCCAGGCAAAGATCTTGTCCACAAAATCAAAGTTCTAGAGCATGTTGGGGTTAGAAGGAGGCATTTTGAAGCCTGCCAGCCTGGGGGTTCAAATCCCAGCTCTGTTACTCCCAAGCTGTGTGGCTGGAATCCTGTGCCTGCATTTCCCCTTCTGTGGCCGCCATCTTGCTTCTCCTGAGGAGGCCGGGTAGACAGCGGGTGCTTTGCTGGGCGCGAGGCGCCCAGAGGCTTGTGGGAAGTGCTGGAGGGAGACCTGTGTCATGTTTTTGCCAACAGTGAACAAAAATGCCAACCCAGACCCCCCATCCCAGAAGGAGGAAGAGAAGAAGGAGGAGGAAGACGACTCCGGGGAAGATGGCCCCAAGCCCATGCCCCCATACAGCTCCATGTTCATCCTGTCTACAACCAACCCGTGAGTCCGGCCCCCACCTGCGCTGCCCCCCAGATCGAAACCTCATGGTCACCAAGCTGCCCATGCCCTCCATGGTGGCCATCCACCCAGCCACAGCCTGCACCACCACCCACGGCAGCCGCTGCCCAAGGGCGCGCCGGGGCCGCATGGCCTCCCCGCTAACAGCCTTCTCTCTCCAGCCTCCTTGAGGAAGAGAGGTAGTGCATGCGTGTTCTGTCCACTCCCGGTGCTAACCAGCGATCACATCGTCCCAGAGGAGAAACCTCTTTAAAAGCCTCCATTTTCCCCAATGCTTCCTGACATCCAAGAAGCTGACAGGAACAGCTGCCCCGTCCCCCTTCCCCTCCCCCTGCCTTTTTATGTAGTTGACCTCTTCCTTTTATGTAAAAAGTGGTTAGGCAGGCATGCCGGCTCCTGCCTGTAATCCCAGCTACTTGGGCAGTGGAGGTAGGAGGGTGGTGGCTCTGGGCTGGCCCATGGAAAAGCTCCGACTATACAAGAAAATGAATTTATCAAACCAGGCGCCGGTGGCTCCCGCCTGTCATCCTAGCTACTCAGGAGGCTGAGGTCTGAGGATCATGGTTCAAAGCCAGCTCGGGCAGGAAAGTCTGTGAGACTCTATTTTTTTTTTTTTTTGTCGGTCGTGTGCCTTGAACTCGGCCTGGGCGCTGTCCTCAGCTCTTCAGCTCAAGGCGAGCGCTCTACCACTTGAGCCACAGCACCACTTCTGGTTTTCTGGTGGTTTATTGGAGATAAGTTTCACGGACTTTCCTGCCCGGGTTGGCTTTGAACCACGATCCTCAGATCTCATCCTCCTGAGTAGCTAGGATTACAGGCGTGAGCCACGGGCACCCCAGTGAGACTCTTATCTCCAATAAACTACCAGAAAACCGTAAGTGGCACCCTGGCTCAAGTGGTAGAGCGCTGGCCTTGAGTTGAAGAGCTGAGGGACAGCGCCCAGGCCCAGAGTTCAAGACCCACGACCAACGGAAGGAAAAGAAAATGCCATGGGACAGGGCTCTGATTGGGGGCGTGGCTTGTCAGTAGGGGCGTGGTTAGGTCGCAGTGGGCGTGGCGTTGGGCTGGTTTGAACAGTTGTGGGAGTGTTTCCACATTTGTGGGTGTGGCTCGATCGCTGAAGGCTGGTTTTGTGGACTGTTTCATTCTGGATTGTGGGCGTGGTTCTGTGTGGGGCGTGGCTCCATGGCTGTGGGTGTGGCTCCGAAATAGGGGGTGTGGCTCCAGGGTAGAACCTCTGCCTCCAGGGTAGAACCTCTGCCTAGCAATGGCAAGGCCCTGACATCAAACCCAGTACCAAACCCAATGTCTTGGGGGCTGCGGAGCTGTGGCGTTGGGAGGACGGGGGTCATGAGATAATAGGGGGTTGGTGGAGCGGCGAAGGAAAGGGTTTGGAGCCTGTGGTCTGAGGGCCTCTGGCTGCCCCTCTGCCCCGCACACAGCCTTCGCCGCCTGTGCCATTACATCTTGAACCTGCGCTACTTTGAGATGTGCATCCTGGTGGTCATCGCCATGAGCAGCATCGCGCTGGCTGCCGAGGACCCGGTGCAGCCCAACGCCCCGCGGAACAACGTGAGCGCCCCCCACTCCACCCTGCGCCTGCGCACCCCCACTCCACCCCGCGCCTGCGCACCCCCACTCCACCCCGCGCCTGCGCACCCCCACTCCACCCCGCGCCTGCGCACCCCCACTCCACCCCGCGCCTG